AGGGGGTGACGGCCGCTGGTCGAGACTCATGAAGGAGTGGCAGCCAAAGGACGGAACGCACCGGGAAGGATGTCTCAATGTTCGGCTCGCGTGCAGGAGTATCGTCGCGGCATGGAATCGGGAGGAGGGGGGGGAGGCCTTCATCCAGCAGTGGATAGATCCTGGCTGCTGATGATGATCTCGTATGAGCAATTCATTTTCAGAGTGAACTACACACATTTTAGTTGAAGGCTTCATTTGGGTTGCTAGGGACTTTAATTGCCTACATGATATTGACACAGTGCTTAAATAATAGTAATAACGATGATGTATTTCATTGTGGCAGCGTATGATGACATTATTTTGGTTGGTTTATACTTAGACGGGTAGAGGACATTGTGAACAGACAAATGTTCTACTTGTGTTGTGTTTTTTTTTCCATCATGCAGCACATTTTGTCCCAAGTTAATATTGTGCGAGTGCAATGGACTCGCACAATGTAACCGAATTAGCAGAAGCACGTGTTGCTAAAATGTTGTCGAACCCGAGTAACCTATGTTCACTTTGCAGCCACGGGCACGGCAGCAGCACGTTAGCTCGGTTTGCCTTGTGGGTCAGTCAGTGATGTCACGATGGACCAATTAGCAGCCAAGCAAGCCGTGTGAAGCCATCTCACTCGGGCGCATTGCTGCGTTGCTTATTGTTATCGAATCCAATAATTGTTTGCCGGCGGTGCTGCTGCTGTTGCTGCTGCTGGACTGGCAGTTGAGCAAAAGCAAAGAAACACGATAAAAACTCAACACTTTCGTCAATAACACTGTGGCATTCAAATGGGAATATATATATATAAATAGGTGACATTGCACTTTTGAGTTGTTTTATTTTTTATTTTCAAATTCAGTTTTCCTAAAGCATTGCCTCCTTGCTTGTCTTGATAGCGGTCGACTTTCAGTAACTGCCCGTACTCTACACCCACGTGTTTAGCAGTTATGTCCCTCTGACAGACATTGCAGTTGATATATCATGGCTGCTGCTGCTGCTGTTGTTGCTGATGACGACGACAACGACGATGATGATGATGAAGTCATTGAAAGGAACTTCACAAATGTTCTGACTGTGCGGAGCATCAATTGCTAGCTGAAGGTCAAGGTCAAAAGACCATCACGGAAAATGATGTCGATTCCAAAACGGCGTGCCACGGCTTCATTCCTTCTTACCAGGTTTAAATTGGCAGCGATTATAAGCAACGTTGATCGTACGATAATGCACATTACAAGCATAATTTAATTAACGCCATGTTCTTAATATTTGTATGTATATATATTTAAAAAAAAACGGCTTCCTTTCGACAATGCTCGGTCAATGCATTCAGTACGACGTCACTCGCTCCGGAACATAAAATCCCGGCAGGAAATCACTGGGCAGCTTTAGTGACTTTTAAATCCCAGTGGGGATCGTGTTAAACACTTAACGGTGCACGCATGTCATTCGTGCACGTGCCTTTATTCTAATATACTCCATATGTGTCGCTCTGTGCATGTGTGAAACATGCCCGTGGAGTGTGTGTGTGTGGCTAATGGAAGCAGAGAGCATGGCGAAGAGGATAACCCCTTACGGAGACGGGGCAACAAGATCAGTTGGCGTGCGTGAGCGGGATGGATGTTTTCATCGCAGGACCATGAGGATTGTCGACGGCAAAGGGGAGCAGGCATTCATTCAGCGGTGGATAGACCAGGGATAATGATGATTGGAGATGTATTTTATCAAATACCACTGTGTTTTCAAATACATATCTCATAGAGATGCTTTCCCACCTGATGACGGACGCTTGTGTTGCGCCCGAAACGTCGTTGAATTATTTTATTTTATACCAACGTGACTTTACCGAAAGAACCAAAGAGTATGGATTCCTGCAGTCACGAAAGCTTCAAATCAAGATTCAAGTCAATATTATCCCAAATCGATGAAAACCCTAAATTGAGAAGGGAGAAGAAAAACGTGTGTTCAGGATGAAACAATATTAAATGTCACACGCCAAAAATGTATATTTTTACACTCAATCAGGTTGATTTTCAAAGCTGAGACAATAGGCTGAGCTGTGACGCAGTGGTTCGCACACTGCACAATCAACCTGGCCACTTGGAGTTCAATTCCCGGCCAAGGCTAACATCCGTGGGGCGAGCGATGATCCCACGTGGTTCCTGGACTCCCTGTTCTCTTAACCAAGCCGCGCTGGCCAAGCGTGGTGAAACAGGATTTAAGCAACTCTCACGAACGACACGGCATGACGTTGTTTGACCATACTTCACCACCAAAAATTGCGTGTGGAGAGGCCGTTATTCAGCAGTGGATTGGCATGGGGCTTCAAATTATACATCAATGATCAGTTTATTATGTATACATCAATTATGTTCATAATGTGGTTTCTCACCCAAGACTTCTCCCCAGCATCTCTTACAAGTGGAACCTGCTTAATAATAAATGAACGCATTTACTTACATGAATCGGTGCCATATTTAGAAAATGTAAAAAAAAACATGTTTTTAATGTGTGTCTACGCTCGTGTCCGGTTTTAATTCGGCCTTAACCGTGCCTCTAACACTTTATACGTAAGGTCGCCACCTGTTCAGGATTTACCTGGGACAGTCTGGGAATTGGAATCTGTGTTCGGGTGGCAGAAATTGATTCGCACTGAGATCTGGTCCGGGTTTTGTTGAACTAATATCACAGCATACTGCACAACTTTTTTTCAGACCCTGGCTGACTGAGAAATATGTGCGGGTTCGCTCTATGGAAAAGGTGGCAATCGTATGCATGTATGACAAATACGAATAGGTTTTACCCCTTAGATGTAACCATATTTACACTGCGTGCATAACCGGTGGGAGGCTTGACCCACTCTCCGTCGGCTTTAGCGTCTCACGCTCCACGGGAAGCGAATTACTCGGTTCACTGACAACGGGGATTTATTTAAGTGATAAGCACGAAAACTAAGGCAACGTAAAACTTTAGGCTGACCCTGCCATTTAAGTATAAAACAAAAAAACACAATAAGCCTTCAGAATATTCAGAGATTTACTTGTCTTGAACCAACGCTGCTGACGTGATGGCCTCCCAGAAGGCCGTGCAGCTGATGGGATGCGTAAGAAATGATTTTCTTATTTATTAACAAAGACGCGAAAGTTGATTCGGGGTCGACGTTTGGCGGACACAAAGTCGTAACATGTCGCGTGTCAGATGTTTATTCTGCACTTATAAAAGCACAGAACGTATGTGCGTTCCAAAGTTCAGCTTCTTGCGCTGGAACATCACGACAGTTTAAACTCACCCGGTTCACTGAGTCACGCCAACATGAATTAGCTACAAATTTAGGGCCCGTAACCCAAGATGAACCCAGTATGCGCCCAATCGCGTCACTATTCGGAAGCTAAGCAGGGCTCAGCCTGGATAAGTGCCTGGATGGGCGACCACCCCTCCAGTAAACGCGCCTTTATCGGTTGCTGCTGATGCTGGGCTACGTTATCAGCAAAGGGCAGTGCAGCAAAACCATTGTATTGCACTCATGCTCCCAACGTCTATGCTCCCCGCTTTCAACCCGCACTACTTTTACTGACCACCGTGGAGAAGATGACCACGTGAACCCCAACCCGCCGTGACCGATACCTCTTTGGGTAACTGTCTTTGTCCGGCCGTGTCTTTGTCCGGCAGTGTCTTTGTCTGGCCGTGTCTTTGTCCGGTCGTGTCTTTGTATGGCCGTGTCTTTGTCCGGCAGTGTCTTTGTCTGGCCGTGTCTTTGTCTGGCCGTGTTTTTGTCCGGCCGTGTCTTTGTCTGGCCGTGTCTTTGTCCGGCCGTGTCTTTGTCTGGCCGTGTTTTTGTCCGGCCGTGTTTTTGTCCGGCCGTGTCTTTGTCTGGCCGTGTCTTTGTCTGGCCGTGTCTTTGTCCGGCCGTGTCTTTGTCTGGCCGTGTCTTTGTCTGGCCGTGTCTTTGTCCGGCCGTGTCTTTGTCCGGCCGTGTCTTTGTCTGGCCGTGTCTTTGTCCGGCCGTGTCTTTGTCCGGCCGTGTCTTTGTACGGCAGTGTCTTTGTCTGGCCGTGTCTTTGTCTGGCCGTGTCTTTGTCTGGCCGTGTCTTTGTCTGGCCGTGTCTTTGTCTGGCCGTGTCTTTGTCCGGCCGTGTCTTTGTCTGGCCGTGTCTTTGTCCGGCCGTGTCTTTGTCTGGCCGTGTCTTTTTCTCGTTTCCCCCTCGCCCAGTGCCCACGGGTGGTCTCACGCCTCCACGAGGCAATCTCACGGCACGCGCTGGCCAGCAGCCAAACCCTAACTCCGTGGTTCCTTCACCTTGACTGCAGCCTTACTTGCAGCCCCTTTGTTTCTCAATAGTCACACATGAATAATGTGTAACTAATAGAACCAAAGAGTATGAATAATGTTCTTACATACATGGGTTTTATGAAACAAAGTATTTGTGACTACCTGCCCGTGCTTAGTTTGTGTGTGTCGATCATTTACCTTCTAAACAAAATAATAATCTGGCCACCCCCCAGGTCAAGAATCACCGCTCTAGCGTCTGACTCCTGACACTGACGGAGGAAATCGAACGCAAGGCTTACACGTGCACACAGCAGGACGTTGTCCAGATGCACGTTTGGAATTACGCGCGGATCAGGGAGAGACCAAACTCAAATCGGAGACATCCACATTTGGCGATCGTGACGCCTAACTGGGCTTTTTGTCTCCTCAATATGTTTCTGGAAGATCCCCGCTACGCTTGCTTGGAACCTGAATTATTGTCGTAAGGCGCTACCACTCGGACACAATGTACACGTATCCATAATAATCCTGTTGCTAGTATTGTGTCATATCTTCCTATTTAAGGTTTATCCAAAGTACGTGGCCAAAAATAGGACGAGATGGATGCGGCGTTGCAACCCTAACCATGCCGTGCCGCTCGTCCCGAACCGTCGGGCGCTGCAAATCGAATCGCCGCAAGACACCGCCGCGTGTAACATGGAGCGCAGCTCACCGATGGTGGACACCACGGTGCTTACAAAGTAGAAGGCTCCCGAAAAATCCCAGCGGGGCTTCAGCTCGTCGGCACCGACCGCGGCTTGCAGGCTGGCCGCCTCGTAGTCCCGGAGCAGCTCTTCCATGGCAACTGTGCTCACGCCGTGAGTCCTGGTGAAGTTGCTCAGCCTGCTGCACCAGCGTCGTCGAGCCTCCTCCTCGGCGGGTCGCTCCAGAGCCGAGAAGACCGCGGCTCCGAAGAGCATGTAGCACACGATGAGCAGCGCAAGGAGAGCGAAGCGTGCGTTGTCTTCACACACGGGGCTCCCACCACCACCTCCAGCGCAATCGCCTCCTCCACCACCTCCTCCTCCTCCGCCGCCGTGGGCGGGCATGTTACGTTGGACCCCGGCGAGCAGGCAACGTTCATGAGGAAGAGGAGTCGGCAGGCTCGCTCACTATTGCTATCTCGCGGGTGCTCTCTCGCTCTCCCCCCGCGGGACACCTCTCCCAGCACGGTTGAGAGAGTGTGTATTATTAAGGGGGAGGCGCGCGAATGATACTGTCGAGCGACAACAGAGACTGGCAGTGAGACAGACAGGCAGAGAGGCTGCGCGCCCCCTCTCCACCCCCCCCCCCGGACACACACTATTGTGGAAGTGCGCTGGGTGTAGTGCCGACAGACGATGCAGCCCTTTCCCCTCCCCACCCCACCGATGCAACAGGCGAGTACCGTACTGCGCGTGTGCCGTCGCCGCCACCGCCGCCGCCGCCGCCGCTGCTGCTGCTGTTGAAGCACGATGTCTACCCGTTGCCTTCAATCTCCACGGCCGCGGGTCTCTTTACAGGGAGCGCGCTGCGAGCCTCCATGATCCGGGGCGGCCGCGCTTGCTGCGATCTCTGAGTGTGGCCGGCCGTGGGCTGCGCTCATCGCACGCGGTGGGAGCCGAGGCGCTGTCCACTGCCGCGGTGGTGCTGAAAGTTGCTGCGCCTGTCAATCCACCACTCCCACCACTCCTCCTTCTCCCCCCCCCATCACCACCGCCACCACCGCCGCCGCCGCTCCAGACTACCACAGCCTTAGGAACGCCATCACCCCCCATCACTGACACGACCCCCACCACTACCAGGAGCAGCAGCAGCAGCTTATTTCGGCGGTGCCCACATATCTGACCTCACACGCGCTGTTTTGCTCGCGTGGTGCGGAGCTGCCGAATAGTCATGCTGTACTTATTTACTTACGTAGCAGGGGTTGGAATTAGCCTTTGCAAATGATGCTGGGGCTGGTCCTTCGCTATTCTCGAACCTGTACACAGACACCTAAGCACATACCCCTAACTTTAAAAAATGTACCCGACCCCACCAATGCAAAGTCTACCCCTGATCTTTACACCGACCGAACAGAGCGCCGTCCCCATTCCGCGATGTTAACGCGCAGCGACGTTCTTTTTCGAATGCTTTTGTCTATTAAGCAGTTTGAAGCAACTGAACGCACCGTTTACTGCTCGAAGGAGCTTTGATTGACCGCGAGGAGGTAACGCGGGTTCGTGAATGAGTGCAATCACACTGCCGCACGTGCGCCGTCACGTTCGGCCGTGGAATGGGTTAACTCGTGGATAGCGAATGAATAGCCTCCGTGTGTGTGCACGGCGCGCGATCACGCGAAGACAAAGGCCTCCCGTATAGCCTGTAACAGACTGTTGGGGCAAGTGCTGTTAGCGAACACCTATGAAGGCCAGAACGGCACACGAGGGGGTGGGTGGCCAGCACCACGCCCAGCCGCCTTTGTCTCCCCTGTCTTTATAGCCCCAATAGTCTGTTAAAGGCTATACGGCGTATCTCTGTCTTTGTGCGCGTCCACACACATGCACGCGCAGAAGTGAAACGTAATTTTAACATGCATCTGCAGTTTAGGGGCTGACAAGACATTGCATGGCTCGGTGGCCATCCATGCCTCTCCTGCGTGTTATCCAGTTACGTTGAATAAAATCTAAAACCCCTACCAAACTGACGGACTCCATCTCCATCGCTGCCATTTATTGAAGCCTATTATTGCCAATTTACGTCTTATTTGTGATAATCAAGGGCGTGTTAAAATATACTTGGAGTCCTTGGAGGAGTATAAAGTAATTCAATCTCCACATCAAGCAATGGCTCTTCACAATTCACTCTAATTTCTTTGGCTTTGTGTGCACGTACCTAAAGGGTTCATTGCATCGCTGATGAACCACCAAAGGCACGACTGATGTTCCCTAATCACATGCATTCACATTGCCGCCTGTCCTGTACATCAGCTGTTATTTGGCCAATGAACGCATCCTTAAATCCATACAAAACTTAGCCATAATTGATATTTGTTTTCAGGAAAAAAAATCGGTTGACGATTTATCCAATTAAAATTGCAATTTAAAACAACTCTTACCGTACGATTGCCAATGTTTTTTGGAAGGTCACTGTATACCGCGGGTGCATCAATGAAATGTCTGACATCATTGGTTGAGACTATGACAACCCACGCTTTCTGCATCAGAACAATTACGCTGACAATTGAATTTCATTTTGTATACATATTGCCAAAGCTGGATGGGTTTCAGAAGGCATTGTGTACTACGAACAAGGGACATGTGAGGAATCATTTGTAAGGTTAAGGGTGCACACGGTGCTGTGCATGACTGCACGCTGCTGTTGTTCATTAAATTCAGCATTCATTTTTCGTGGCTTTCGATACAGTGGTCATGAGCATTTAAAAACAAACAGAATCTCTAATTGTGGTCCAGGAATTAGCACTTGATAGCAATTGGCAAATGTGAATGTAATGCGTTGGTAACATCGCTTGCACTCTGCAGATACCTTGTTCACGGCTATAATCCTGCGCTGTTGAGGCCAGGGTTGGTGGATCACACAAATGTTGTGAAACTCCCTTCCCGTGGACATCGACGAGGTGCAATATCTCGGCTCGCTGGGAGAAGACTGTACAGCAAGTGGAGTAATGACCATCCGTATCGAACTCTACTGGGATAGAGTGTTGCTCTCGTGCGTGTGTGGGTTTTCTATGGGTGCTCCGAGTTTCACCAGCACGTATGAAATGGTTTTAAAACAGCTTAAGATAAAATAAATAAACCTAATGCAGGACCCTCTTAAAAAATAGTCCTGCGAATCGGTGTGGTTCTCCTCGACAAATAAGAGAATGGCAACAATTACAAATGGAAAGTCAAAGCGCATACCACAGCGTGAACGTGGTGAACAACTTTGAACAATGGGACTGCTCGTGAACCATGGGACTGCTCGTGAACCATGGGACTGCTCGTGAACCATGGGACTGCTCGTGAACCATGGGACTGCTCGTGAACCATGTGACTGCTCGTGAACCATGGGACTGCTCGTGAACCATGGGACTGCTCGTGAACCATGTGACTGCTCGTGAACCATGGGACTGCTCGTGAACCATGTGACTGCTCGTGAACCATGTGACTGCTCGTGAACCATGTGACTGCTCGTGAACCATGGGACTGCTCGTGAACCATGTGACTGCTCGTGAACCATGGGACTGCTCGTGAACCATGGGACTGCTCGTGAACCATGTGACTGCTCGTGAACCATGGGACTGCTCGTGAACCATGTGACTGCTCGTGAACCATGTGACTGCTCGTGAACCATGTGACTGCTCGTGAACCATGTGACTGCTCGTGAACCATGTGACTGCTCGTGAACCATGTGACTGCTCGTGAACCATGTGACTGCTCGTGAACCATGTGACTGCTCGTGAACCATGTGACTGCTCGTGAACCATGTGACTGCTCGTGAACCATGGGACTGCTCGTGAACCATGGGACTGCTCGTGAACCATGTGACTGCTCGTGAACCATGTGACTGCTCGTGAACCATGGGACTGCTCGTGAACCATGTGACTGCTCGTGAACCATGTGACTGCTCGTGAACCATGTGACTGCTCGTGAACCATGTGACTGCTCGTGAACCATGTGACTGCTCGTGAACCATGTGACTGCTCGTGAACCATGTGACTGCTCGTGAACCATGTGACTGCTCGTGAACCATGGGACTGCTCGTGAACCATGTGACTGCTCGTGAACCATGGGACTGCTCGTGAACCATGGGACTGCTCGTGAACCATGTGACTGCTCGTGAACCATGGGACTGCTCGTGAACCATGTGACTGCTCGTGAACCATGTGACTGCTCGTGAACCATGTGACTGCTCGTGAACTATGGGACTGCTCGTGAACCATGTGACTGCTCGTGAACCATGGGACTGCTCGTGAACCATGTGACTGCTCGTGAACCATGGGACTGCTCGTGAACCATGGGACTGCTCGTGAACCATGTGACTGCTCGTGAACCATGGGACTGCTCGTGAACCATGGGACTGCTCGTGAACTATGGGACTACTCGTGAACCATGGGACTGCTCGTGAACTATGGGACTGCTCGTGAACCATGGGACTGCTCGTGAACCATGTGACTGCTCGTGAACCATGGGACTGCTCGTGAACCATGTGACTGCTCGTGAACCATGTGACTGCTCGTGAACCATGTGACTGCTCGTGAACCATGTGACTGCTCGTGAACCATGTGACTGCTCGTGAACCATGGGACTGCTCGTGAACCATGGGACTGCTCGTGAACCATGGGACTGCTCGTGAACTATGGGACTGCTCGTGAACCATGGGACTGCTCGTGAACTATGGGACTGCTCGTGAACCATGTGACTGCTCGTGAACCATGTGACTGCTCGTGAACCATGTGACTACTCGTGAACCATGGGACTGCTCGTGAACCATGTGACTGCTCGTGAACTCTCCGCTGTTAGCAATCCCCCCATCCCCCACCGCCCCAGCAAGCGTCGTGTTCCAATGTCATACCACCTCGCCCTTATTAATGTAAAACAAGTCATGCGTGGATAAACTTCCAATTCCCGTGGCTGTCTAGAGGGACATTGGTGGAATGCAGGCTCTCAGAATTACACAATGGGCTGCGCACACGAGTGTCCACGGCCTTCCACCACCCCGCCTCATTTCAATCTTACCACCTTAAGCCGAGTGCGATTGTGGGGGAGAGGCAACAAACAAACATGTCACGTGGGATGACGGCTATAATCTCCTTGCTTGAGTTTAAAACATCTCGCCAAATCATTGGGGTGTTTTTATTTAAAGGCCAGAGTGCGTGCGTGTGCGTGAGTGCCCTCAGCTTGTTGCCATGGGCATTCGTGGTCAACGCTAACGCGTGGAATTTGAGCGGCGCGAACGCCCCCTCCCACCCACCACCCTGCCCCCCTGACCCCCGGTGGCATCGTCGTCCAAGTCCTACGGACCGAGCAGATTCTTCATCGAGTTCACGGCGGAGAAGTTTCCGCGAACGAACCGTGGAGGCCGCTCGGCGGCTTGCGCCGGCCGCGCGTTTCCTTGGGATGCGGGCACCGGCAAAGCGCGGGCCGCACACCCGCGCCGTCAAAGCGCTCCTTGCACCCGCCGCCTCCGACGCGAGCGAGGAGCATTGACGGCGTGGATCTGCGGCCTCGCTGCGTCAATTTTATCCGCGGCCGGCTCGCCGTCGTTGCAGCAACAAGCCCACGCGGCCGTAGCGCGCGTGCGTCGGCACCGCGAGGCCGGGACAACGCGCGCACATCACCAAAGGCTGCGCGAGTGCTCGTCGCTGATTGCTGTACGCACTGGCGGAGCCAGTGGAGGGGGTGCGGTGGCACGTGCCCCCCAAATTTTCCGATGATAATCCCGAATTTCGATCGGATCATTGGGGTTTATTAGTAATAAATCGGCATTTTGCGACCCCAACTGCCACTGTGTAGCATATTATTACGTGCCAGGGACTGTTTGAGATGATAGGACAATAGTCTAAATCCATAATTAGCAATAACGGCAAAGCAGTTATAAGTGACTCACATAATTGTGCGCAGTTGCGTATACAGTACACGACTTTCCTGAAGGCATCAACACCTTCAGCGAGCGCGATGCCGATCACACAACGCGGTTCGAA